CTAAAAGAATATAAACTGCATGTAGTACTGACTTAGAGCACCGGCTCCCACAGGGAATGTCCCCGTGTGCTTTAAAATTCAGTACATCAGAAGCAGTATACAGTATGCACCTTTTTCAACTACAGGTTTAAACTAATTTAGTGAAAAAAAATACAAATATGTTGGCTTTCACATAGTGTAAACAGAGAACTCTTTGTATAAGTGCTTTTCATAAATTTAAAAAAAAAAAGTCTAGCCCCATACTTTCCTGTATTTGGTCACTGCAAACCAAGGTACTGGTAGATTCCAACTTCAGAGAATAACTGAAATTTTGGGAAGGAACGAAGTCATAAAACTCTTCTGGACTAAAAGTATTCACAGCCACATAAACACGGAAATGGATTTTATAATTAATTCAGAGTTCCCTGGCAAGCGCAGTGTTGTAATGTGTTGTAATCTACTGATTAAGTTCCAGTAAGAACACTGGCAATGGCTTTCTTTATCAATATCAGCCCTTTAACAGCACCCGAAAGAACCTGAAATTCTGAATCTCAGAACAGCCACGGGTGGGCTGTGCTCATCTGAGCAGCTAGTCAAGGCCGGGCAACTTTTAGAGAGAGGTGAAGCTGTAGGAACAGGTTTTGTGTTGTCCTTGGGTCCCGCTTGCTTCCTCTGCCCGTGTCCTCGAGCGTTGTGTTTTGGAAACACAGCACTTTAAAGAAAACAGCCTTTGAAAAGTGGAGGCTGAATGGGCTTTTGAAACCTTCCAGCAAAGCTTTTAATCCAGTAGGATTCTACTTCACAGAATGCTTTGCCATCTATCAGACCACTGGTCATGGCTGTTAATTAAATGAAAATGCAAAATAAATCTACAGTGCAGAGATACAACACAGCCAATTAAATATTGCAGTACAAGGTGCTAATGATAAAAAACTAATGTCACCGAGGACAACCTGTATGATGTCAGAATACAAATCCTACCAGATGACAAAATGTCCGATTCCCATCATGGGCCGGGGGGAAGAGAACCACTGACCCTGACGGCTGAAGCCGGGCGTTGCAGGGGAGGCGGCGGTGAGGACATAGGGAGTGTGAGTACAGGCTTGGGCACTTTTTCAGAGGAGAGCGAACGCAGTTTAAGTTGAAACCCTTAGACTACGTGCGTCTTATTTTCTTGACTCCTGATAACGTGCAAGTCTGGCCATTCCTGAGCAATAGAGGTTTTTGCCATACAAGCAAAGCAGCATATTTTTTTTTAAATATGGTTGTTTTAGTACAAAAGAACAATATTAAAGAAAGTAAATGATAAGCAAGTAATGAGGAGCGTTTGAAGTGACTGAGGGACTGCCAGTCCCCTGTATCTTTGTGAAGGGCTTTAATGGCTGCGCTGTGAAGAGGGACTGCCTCTTTAAGTGGCTCCCTTCTTGGCAAGGTTAAACCAAATGAATGGCAATAACTACGCAGTTACAGGTAACTAAAGCAGCTTATAGACAGGCATTATAATTTCATTAAAGATTTGGCAATCAGGGGCAATCTAGAGAATATAAATGGACAGAGGTGAGTAATCTTAAATAAGTTTCATGCAATCAAAGAAAATATTTAATGAAGTTACTTGCAAGAAACAACTTAATGAGCTATCTTGAGACAAGCAAATTAATGAATATTTAGAATATTATATGTGTAAACAATTCCACCTTTTCTGCCTATTAGAAAGGTTAATCTTTTTTCTTGAGAAATACAGTCTGATAAAATCTACGCTTGAAAGAAAAACATATTACTGTCTTAAGTTATATCTTTCAATAGCTCATGAAACTTGTGTCACATAAAAAAACCTTTCTTACCATTAATGCTTCAGGTGCATACCTTATATACCTCCGATATGTATTTTAGCTTGGGTTGCTGGTTGGTAGCTTCTTTCCTTGTAGCTTTTGATTGTGTGTTTTGCTCGTTTTAGAAGTTGTGTGCTTAGGTGAGGGTTGTATGAAGGGCTTCATGTTCTTAAAACACAGAAAATGGAGCCAAGTTGAATTTTAGAATATTGTGGGATGCTGGACTTTGGTATTTCCATGGATTTTCAGGCCATGAAAATTTATCCCTCTTTCTTTCCATTATTTTAATAAATGCAGATAACACATTCCTGTCAAGACTCAGCTGAACTAAGTATTAACTAACACCATCCTTTAAACCAGTTTTGCATTCCTTAGATTTTAATAAAATTGTAATGTCTTGGCATGCAGCATATTAAAACATATTTAGCAAAGTTCTAATTGACTGCAAGCTCTTTTCCCCCTTCTTTCAAATGAGTCCAAATGCTCTTTATACACATGTATTTATATATGTACATACATATGTGTATGCTTGTATAAATAAATGTGTGTATAGGCCACTTAGGTCTTTAAAGCAGGGACATGCTGGATGTAGATTGAATCAGTGTCAGAAACTATACTAGTAATACAGTAGTATCAGGCCTCAGGCAGTGTTATCACCACATTTATGTTCAGGCACAGCTATTACCATCACATCTCACTACGGAGGGATTACTCTTGTACTTTGTTCTTCCAACGCTATATCCCTTCCTAGACCTGAACAACTTTTTCTGGAGCCGAAGACAAATCTTGTTGCCCTCCATGAGCCAGTACTACTCTTTCCGCAGCAATATTTTGGATGAGAGGAGAGCTGTTGTGCTACTGAGGTCCTTGGAGGGAAGAAATAAAGAGAAATCATAGAATCATTAAGGTTGGAAAAGACCCTTAAGATCATCGAGTCCAACCATTAACCCAGCACTGCCAAGTCCACCACTAAACCATGTCCTCAAGCACCACATTCTACCCCGCTTTAAATCCCTCCAGGGATGGGGACTCAGCCCCTTCCCCGGGCAGCCTGGGCCAGGGCCTGGCAGCCCTTTCGGTGAAGAAGTTTTTCCTAATATCCAACCTAAACCTGCCCTGGCACAGCTTGAGGCTGAGGTGAGGTTGTAGCAAATTGGATGGAAATTATCAGCTCCCGGCTGAAAAAGAGCTATGGTAAAAAGGGTAAATGGGTAGATTTTTTCCATGTGGTTAGTAGGGGACAACATGCTTAAATGATTCTTGGAGCGCTCCGATGGGGTGTTGATGGGCTTGGGGAACATGGGGAAGGTACGTGTATCCTCCTTGAAAGAGCGAGAGGAGAACTCTTCACACCTGGCTTCCAATGGCTCATCAAGTGACAATAAGGGTGCAGGTATTTTATGTCACCATTATTTCTTACTTTTCAGTGCAAAAAACAATCCAAAGATAAAACTACTCCAGGGTTTTATGCAGATGAAGAATGGCAGAATAGCTCACCTGGTATTGCTCTCTTTGGTGCTAGTTTTTAGGCTGTTGGTTGATCTGTGGCTGGTGGCAAGTGATTGATATTCATATGCACATTTGCTTTCTAGTTTTGAAACCTTTTTTTCCCCCTAGTGTTCCCTGGAGAGTAACATAACAGCATGCATAGGATTGCTCTGTCAGCAAAGACTGTGTTCTGCCTTTTCCTCCCACATCGGAGCGCCACATGCCTTCAGTGGCAGGGAGAGGGTTAAATTTCAGTGCACTGAAGGATGCTGGACTTTGAAAATTAATCATGGACTGTAATAATTATTGATACTTACCAGGTGAAAAATGCGCCCAGGACACAATTATTCCAGTACACAGAAATGTCACAGGATAAACTGCTGCTGTGTCCTGTCATGCCTGCCATGGACATTGAGATATAGATCCTCAGGGGGACTCGGAGACAGAAATAGCCCGGCGTGGCTGGGACTGGCCTTCGCTCCGCTGGGATGTGCTCTCAGGTGAGGGGTGGAAGAGCTTATCAAATTATCGGGCACCTTCGGACCTCGCCTGGGGCTATACGCTTGGAAACATGAATGGGTGTGCTGGGCTTGATTAGTGTCAATATTTTAAAACGAGGTGGATGTTAACGCCACAAAATACAGAGTTTTTAACACAATGTGAAGGGAAGTCTCCCCTCAAATAAGGGGAGATGTTAATGAGCTCTACAAGAGGCTTAACTCAGGATGCTTATAGTCTTTTAGTGTGTGATTGTGGCTGTTCTTAAAAAAATGAATAGACCTTTCAGCATTCAAAGGACTATTTTCCTTTCCCTTCTGATCTGGCCTGCCTTTCTCCCCACATACCCCGAGCTGTCAACTGGCATTCTCTTCTGTGATCTTAGAAAACATGAGGGTCAGGATCAGAGAATATTTTCTTCTCAATTAAAAATAGAAAGTCGGAAATGAAAAATAATTAAAAGATTTCAAGAAACAGCAGGGGGAAAAAGAGAGAGTCACATGTATCTTGTGTGCAGACAGTGCCAGTCTAAGTAAGACCGTGGTTTCTTACTAAACGACACCCGCGTGAAATATTTGAGCGTTGCACACAGGTGTAATTTAGGAAGCGGCAGCAGCCTGCGCGCAGGCAGGTGTACGCAGCTTTTTTATCCC